GGATAAAAGTGCAACAGTGTGCAAGCATTGTGCAACACGTTTTGTTTATGCTAACAGCAACATGACCAACATGTCATGCTAACCCCGAAATCCCAGATACTCCGTCAGCGCTCCGCCCCGCTTCGCTCCAGACTGCCTGGGTAAAGCAAAGCCTACAGCCGCCGCTGTGGCTCCCGTCCGCTCCGCTCTGAGTTCCTTGGAGATTGTAGAGGGCATTCGCGAGATGATTAAATTCAAAGCAGCAAAACATGCGGAAACGATCCATGGTTTCCGCGAATCATTAACAATAATTACAGTTCATTAAGTTTTTTGGAATTTTTCGATAATTTCATTAAAAAAAAAAATTCATAAATTTTTATAAATTTTTTTATTTTTCGGTGTAACAATAAACATAAACCAAACCGAAAAATGTGACCACGAAACCGTGAACCGAACCGAACCGTGGATTTTTGTGAACCGTTCCACCCCTAATAAATATATATATATATATATATATATATATATATTTATATGTATGAGTCGTGGGTATTAGGCTGAATATAATTCAGAGTATTTAACTAAAAACTTATACTCAAATTCATGTTTTGACAGGGGAGGAAATTCTGCTGTGAACCCTGTAAACAAGATTCCCAGAGGTGAGATTGTATTTGTTTTTTTTTGTTTTTTCCTCCACATTAATGCCAAGTTTTTCTGTCTTTCATATTGATGCTACTTTTGGTCAGACTGTGCTGCTGCTTTATTATTATTATTTCCATATAGCTTTATACTGGTGTCCTTCAGGTGGCGGTATTATGTTTTTATCCTTTTCTTTTGCATGTAGCTTAGCTTGCTACTTAACTTTTACTCTGTAATGCTGCTCTTAGCTTTCTCCGAACCTTGACATGTTTATAATGCGGTGTGGAAAGGACTCTTTATTTGAAAGCGATGTGTTTAAATTAATGCAGTGTGGAGATCATTAAGTGAGGTAATTTATTATTAAAGATGGAACATCATGGTGACAAAAACCAGGTTCTTATTTAAGCACCAATGTAGAAAATGTCCATGCAGGCCGGTGTGTATTTCTCTGAAAGATCAGAAGAATAGAGGATGTTTATTAAAAAGTTGGTTGACAATGTGTTGGTGATATCTGTTTAAAAAAATTAAAATAAGATTTAATTTATTTTTTTAAATGAAAAACACTCACAATGGTAAACCAGCAGGTCATTGATGAAGGAACGTTTAAGAGAATGCAGATGCATTATTAAATAGTTGATGAGGCAATATCACAAATGACCATTATTGAGAAAGTGTCAGAATTTGGATATCTCTTATACCGTGGTATTGAGCATATTTATTGCCCACCAAGAATTCTGTGGATGATAATTATGATTTCATTTAATAATTATGCTACCTTGGACTTGATAAAAAAAAGTTGTTTAGATGGGTACTTAGTAAGTTAGCATTAACTAGGTCTGGAGTGGTCAGCCCAATTTCTGGACCATATTCTTATTTAAATTCTGTGTGGTGTCCTAAAAATATTCCATCTAACAGAGAACTAAGTTTCCGTCGCATTGTCCTGTGCTGGAAAGCTGCACACATGATCCAAGGATGTTAAGGGCTGGTTATACTCTCCTCAGCAGTGTGTCGCTGTGAGCTTGACGCAGACATTTTTGATTTATACTAAATTTTGAAGTGTGGTATGTGCTATGTTATATTCCACACAACACCATAAGGGGGACATTCTCGAACTAGCTGTGGGCCTAGATACTGCTGAGGCGGTGAGGAAGTGGGGGAAACTTTGTCCGACAACGGAGGGACATGAGGACGAAAAAGCTGGAATCCAGGTGGAAAAAGGGTCCCAGCGTTCTTGCGCACCTCGCTCTTCTAGCTGGTCCATCTTCACGAGTTGTTTTCTGCAATAGGGGGTTTTCAGGTGACGTCACGCTCACGTGACTACTCAGCGCGTCCGCCATATTGGGTGGCAGCCTTAGGCAGTATTGACAATAAAAAATGGTGAAATCGTGTGTAATTGTTGGTTGCACGGCCCGTGGAGGTGGAGATCAACGCTCTTTCTATCGCATACCAGCCGTAATCGTGAATCAATGTGAAAAAACAAAACAGCTATCTGGACAACGCCGTCAGCTATGTCTGACCCGGATAT